GGGGGGGGGGGGGGTTGCCCTTTCTACTCCCATTGGAAGCGTGTTTCGGAAACTCAATACTCTGATATGCTCTGGTGAGCTTACATTTATTGCCCTGGTCATTCTAATAGAGTTGCCCACGCTCTATGCTTGTTTTACTATGAATTAATCTTTCTTGAATATGGATGACCAAAACTGAACACAGATGAAGTTTCATCAGTGTCCTGTGCAATTGCATTAATATTTTCCTGTATCAGCTAGAAATATCTTGATACATCTAAGGATTGTCTTTGACTTTTTCACATACTGTTGGTGGCTCAGCCTGTAACTGACTGGGGCTGAATGGTCAAACTTACATTTAACAGCTTTGAAAGAGAAGTGAGAACTACCACTCAGGGCCACACATCAGCTCTTGACATGTAACTCAGTGGTTACCTTTTTAAACTCAAAGTACCCCAAAAATGCTACCTTTTAGCCTTCACTAATTAACTATAGAAAAGTACGAATGCAATTCTTCTGTTGTAAAGAACTCAGAAAGACCACAACTGGTTTGACATCTCTGAATTTATCTTGTGAATTATGTTTGCACACCTAGCAGTGCTAATATTGTGTGACACCCCATGGCACCCTTGAAAGGATCCCAAGGCACCCCAAGGTGCCATGGCACCTGATTGAGAATCACTGATGTAACTGTTATGTCTGTGTGCTCAACTGTGTGGCACTCCATTATGGTAAATGCTGTACTGAAGTCATTGGAACAAATGATTGGGCCATGAAGTCCAATGCCCTGTGTTCACAGGTAGCTAGCTATTTACCTAAGCATTGCCACTTCAAACCAAAATCACCATTTCAAACCCCTGCCCACACCTACAAGGTAGAAAATCAGAAACGCCAAGAACACCCTACAACCTACCCTAGGTAAAAACAGGGGAGACAAGTGAACTGCTAATACCTTGCTACTGCAAAGAACGGAAAATAATGAGTTAATTTATTCAGAGAATCCTAGGAAAAAATGTACATCCCACACTGCAGAAGACGGCAATACCCCTCTGTTTTGACCTAAAGGAAAAAGTTCCTAAATAATCCCATATACATTAATCTAACACATTTTTCTTGTTAAGAAAATCAGTTATCTCATCAAAGCTATCACAATAGCAGGTTCATTTCGTATGAACTACCTTTGATAAATCCATTTGTATTATATTCTATTTGCCATTTAGCACAATGTCTTTAATCATTCTTGCCTTTAAAATTTGTTCAAAAGCTTTCCTTACTATTAAGATCAAATGAATGGGCCGGCAGCTGTATAGATCCACTTTCCCCTTTATATATAGCTATTTATTGTTTTCCACTAATATCTTGTTTGATAGATTTATAGAAAATCCTCACTACTAGATATGCAACATCATTTGCTTTTTCTTTCAGAATGCTAAGATGAAACTTATTTGGTTTCCAGTTATTTTTTATCTTTAGAATTCTGTTTTATACTGCTCTGTTATACGCTTTTTGTTGCGTTGCTCACAGTGACAGGTATATCAGTCTCTTTATAGTTATTTTTTATATCATTGGACTACCAAGAAAAATAAAAGCCCAGGGCAGGAACTGTTCCTCAGTGTTATTGTTCCTTACATTAGTGAGAAGTACACATTTATTTGGCTTATATGATATGGGCCACATTCTGCCATCCTTACTTTAACTCAGTGAATCATGCCATAGATTCCAATGGGAATACTTGTGGAATAAAATAGCACTAGTAAGGGTACATGAAAATAAAACTACCATATTTACTCAATGCAAGAGAGTGAGGGCAGGTTGAAGGGGTGCAGATAGGGAGGGCAGGCCACAGGGAGTACAAGAACTGTGGGGTCAGGCACGGGACATGCAGACAGTGCTGGGGGCAGGCAATTAGGGGGGCAAATGGGAGGGGGGCAGGATGCAAGAGGTGGGCCTTCACTCCCTGCCACCTGCCTCACTGCCACCTGTCTCCCTGCCACAGTGGGAGGCAGGAACAAATTTAAGTGGTGGGGGGACCCTCCAAAAATTAGATTCTAGACATGGAATTTTTTTTTTTTTTAATATTTTAAAAAATTGATGTTTAGAAGTAATTATTGGGGAATTGTCTTAAATTCAGAGGCATTTGGGGTTTTGGTAAATATGGTAGTTACTTCATGGTAAAAAGGAGAGAAGGGAGGGGGCAGGATTTTATGTGCATCTATTGCTCTGAAGTAGCTGCTCATGTCCCTATTTTTACCTTGTATTAGAGGAAAATTAAACCACAGTTGCCTACTCCTCAGTCAAGGAGGGATAGTCTGCCACAAATTTAATTTTCACCTCTTGCGGAGTAAGAGCATGCACACAGTATACTTACCCTACAATGGCTGATATATGGTAAATCCATGCCTTCTTTTACCTCATGGTAATTTCTTCGTGTGTCCTTGTCCTCGGAGTAGCAAGCTGTGGTCCTAATTAAGCTGTACCAGAAAGTACACATGTAATCTTCCTCTGCTATTGAGACCAGTAAAATAAAATGAAATAATAAGCAACCATAAATAAATGAAAGCACAAACAAATAAGGTAGGTTCCAATTTGTAGCCTGAAGACGCTGAGCTTGAAATGTTCTCATTTGCTCAGAATACTATCTTCTGCTGCTCTCATACCTCTAGGGACTCCCTTCCTCAATTTTACTCCTACTAAAACTTTCCACTTGACAGTTCTGTCAAGGACTTCTCTAACATTTTCAGAGAATATTTCATGGAAAAAATAACTGTCTCACCAGGAACACCTTTTTGTGCTCTAAGTCTTGGTTTTAGGTATGAGTGATAGAACTTAACAGTGAAGCTCTTCGGGTTTTAAATTCATGCCAACCAGAGATATCCCTTAAAAATAACTCTTTAAAAATATATATTTTTTCAAGCTCTGTGACTCCTACACTGTAAGCACTCCTGGGAGGTATTATTGATAAGTCTCCTGCAATACAGCTAGTTTTCTGTAGAAGAAGGATAAAGGTAGGACTAGCAGCAAAACTAAGAAATATAACCTGAAATCGGTCAGAACCAAAATCAGTCTTATTCCTGCATATTAAAGACATCATCACTGGGATTCTGAAGGCAATGCTAATTTCTGAAGATCAAAATTTTCATTTATAATAAAGTAGAGGAGTGGATTGGAGTGTTGATGTAGCCATGATGGTCCAGGAAATGTCCAAGAAGGCTTTATCTGGTCCAGGTAAGGCCTTCAGGGACCCTCCTGAGGAAGGGCACCTGATTCCTGAAACTTTGTCCAACAGCCCTCCCAACTATACGGCTGGTCCAGTAAATGGTATCATAAAAAAGACCTTGCCTCTTGATTAATGGTTTATAATTTGTAGCTTTAATGGTTTAAGAAAAAGGCTAGATATCTTCATCTGAGGAAGGCTCAAAAAGAAATCAGTGTTTGTTATTTTTTAAAATATCCCATGATTTTTAAACCAGTTTTGTGATTTTGGGAAGTTTGCCTTGTGATTTCTGAACATATGAGGTTGACAGTATTCTCTTTGGAGCAGAATGCTGAACAAAGAGTCTTACACAATACTGAGCATGTGCTAGCTGTGAAATAACACCCATAAACTTAATTGCATAGTTGGGATAAGAAATTAGACTTCTGCTGTAGTCCTGAGGTTATAAGTGTTTGCTCATTGATTGAGCAGCTGCTTAATAGGATAGATAAATCTTTTCAGGGTGGATACATTTTTTCTTGTGTTTAATCATGTCAGCATTTGATCCCTTCTGTTCTACCAAGTTCAACAGGGAAGCCATGGAAGATGGCATTTGAAGCTTGGTTTTCAGGGCAGATACCACTGATATTGAATGGATTGGACAAGATGAAAGGGCAGCAACATCTCTAACATCTCTGGGGTTTTTTGTTTTTTGCAGGAGATGCACGGGTGAGAGGTCAGACAGGGGTTCTCTCTGAGCGCCGTGGCTCCTACCCATTTATAGACTTCCGTCTTCTCAACAGTAAGTACATCACCTCACCCAACCTAATTCCCTAAAGAGAAACTTGTCAAAAACAAAATGGGTATTGAAAGTGTGTGACTCAAGAATCATCGCATCTCATTTGATACACCTGCTTACATCCCAGCTTTCCCTCTTACAGCCACCTGTTGTTCACAACAAGCACTTGCCAGTGTTTTGATTACAGGTTCATTGTCTCCACTGCTTAGTTTGTCAAGTAAATACAGTATGGCGTGATGGGTGCCATCTTGTCCAATATCCAGGATTAGAATGAGGAACCTCCAAAGTTAAAGGCAAGAACGTCTATGGTTTGAGCTAAGGAGGGCATGTCTACACATGCACTTCAATGTGAAGTAGCCTATTTTACTGCGCATTAAAGCGTCATGTAAAAAAACAAGCAATTACACTAGTGTGCAGCAAAATAGGCTACTGCATATTAAGAATCATTTTAAAAAGTTGTGCTTTTGGTACTGTGCATTAGGGCAGCCTAATGCACATTTATTTAGTACCTTACATTGGAGGTACTAAATTTAATGCGCGTTAGGAAAAGCACATTAATGCATGTGTAGATGCACCCCGAGTTGATCATTGTAGCTGTAACAGACATGCACTGTTTTGGATTTGGCACAGAAAGGACACACAACACACACAGGCTAGTGGCTTACAGTGACATTATTTTGCACAAGGTTACAACCCAGTCCAAAAGCTGGTGGCATCTTCCTGTTGACAGTGGATTTGGGATATAGTCTATGGTGAACATCTGTTAAAGGACAGTATTAATTTAAAGTTATTTTGTCTCTGCTGAAAATAATGAATGACAAGTAAAAAAATAAATGTTCATAGTTCTTTTTCCCCTAATAAATTCTCCTAGTTTATACAAGGTCTGCATAGAGGTCTTTCCCTTCCCTTTATTGCTATCTGTGCTGGTGTCCAGAATTTAAAGTTATTGCACTCTGCTTAGCTAGTATATAAAGATAATTAAAAATAAGCAATTACTCAGTGATTTGACTGGCACTGACATTCAACTAGAATAAAATATTAACTCCAGCATTCAGATTTAGGTAGGCACTGGCATATCCTCCTACATTCAATGTTACCATTGAATCAAAAAGTTATTAACAGTCTTCATCAGAATAGACTGGGACTCCAACACCTGCTTCATGATTACAGTTTTAATCTTCTGGTGATTACATTTTTCATTAAAAAGCAATTATCAAACTAGCATTTTAAATCTTGTTTGTATATCTCTTTACATAACTACTAAGAACTGGAGGAAGGGAAGGCTTAGAAAGGGAAGTCCTGGAGTGGGGTCATGAAGAGGGGGAGGAAATAGAAAGGTGTGTTGGGGAGAAGACTTAGAGCACTGGTGTACTGATGGTCCTGGAAGCTGGCAGAGTACTACAGTCTGGCTTTAAATATTGGAGTTATCATCTACATCAATCTTCCACCTCCTCTTCTGTTAGCCCACACCAGCTGCTGTCAAATCTTACACACCAGGGATATTTCCCAGGTCAGAGCTCCATCAAACTCTGTGCTAAGGAGTTATAGAGGATGAGATGAATCAAACAAGTTGGCTAGGCCAGCCAGAGCATGAGACCAATTGCATAGAGCTCCATGAAAATTTGATTTTCCAGTTTGCTAGCCAACCAAAAAATTTAAAAAAACTTGCATGCGAGGTCAACCTGAAATCATGGGGGGGAGGGGGGTGGTTGTTGTTCCAATAAACTAGAAAAAAACAATAATAAAGGCTACACTTAGGAATTCATTTGACACAGTATTTCAGGTGTTTTTTTAACTATTTTTTTTAAACATAATTTGCAGGTACATTTCAAAACAGAACATCATTTTAAAATAAAAGTGTAAAATGTGTTATTTAGAACATGGTAAAAATGAAACATTTCACCAGCAGCAGAGCGAGGGCAGCTTCATCGGTAGTGCATGGGGCAGCAGCAGCTGCTGCTGCTGCTGACAGTGATGGTGTGGCCAGCTGCCAACTGTGGCAGCAGCCATTTTGTAACCCCCCACAAAGGCAACAGCAGCAGCTACACTATTAATGTTTCAACTGTTTTGAACAGTTTTGTTTCAATTCTTTTATTGCCTGAAATTATTTGACTAATCAAGACAAATTGATAAACAGCATCACTTAACCTGAGTCTTTTTTGTCAGTAAATAAAATATGCAATTGAAAAATGTTGTCAAGATCTGCTTCTGAGACTAGTGCAATATCATAAGATATGGTTTGTGGAGAACAGAACTTGAATCAAGTATCACTAGCAGCAAGGCATTGGGAAGGAATAGGAAGAATTTGAAATCCAACCTGGAGGAATGAGTTATACTCTTAACTTCAGTGGTATTGGTATAGCCTTAAAGGAGCCAGCTGGGTTATCAGAAGCAGTTTATTTGCAGAGCATGTAGCTCAGAATGGGCTAATTTCCTTGCAGAAAAGTAACGAAGAGCCAAATTTAGGGGTACAAGAAGACACCAGTAGAGCAGGGGTGTACTTATCCATGTCAAAAAATATGTAAGAGACCAAAACATCTTTCTCAACATTTTAATTGGAATCATGCTTAAATCAGAACCAGTTCACTTGTCCCTACTTATAAATCAACTTGCAAGAACACCAGATGGACTCAGCTGCTAAGAAATTCCAGCTTTCATTCAGAGTGGCAGAAGTGACTAAGTATTCAGGTTGAACATGGTCTCGGTTATTTGACTTTTGTTGTCAAAAGTATTTGTTTAGTTTGTATTTCTGTCAAACACTCATACTCCTTAAAGCAGAGCTTCAAACTCATCTGGTCCTGCGGACCAAATGAGTGGCCCAGGACTAGTCCAAGGGGCTGAGTTGAGCTCACAGCCCCCTCTCCCCTCTTCATGTCAGATCCAATGCACTCAGCACAGGTTCCAGACAGTCTGAGATTGAAGTGCCCATGAAGGGCTGGTCTGGGACCCAGGCTGCACAAGGTACAGGTCCCAGACCAGCCGGGGCAGGTGCCAGATGCAGCACAGGTCCCAGGCCCTGCACACAGGACCAATCCAGTATGGACTGGATGTGGGTCAACTCTGAGACCCAGGAGCAGCACCGGGGGTCACATGATAGAGCTCCACGGGCCAGGCCATACCTTTAACACCCCTGCCTTAACCTCTTGAGCTTTTCTGTTGGAGATCAGGCTTTCTTTTTTTCCCTCTAATTGAATCTTACTGATCCATTCTTCCAATTCAGGAAGATCTGTCAGGTGTGCATGCTGTTTTTGGTTTGGCTGGGGGAGATCATTGGAGAGAGAGGTACTATAAACCACTGGGCATTTGATCAGTGTTGGAACAAGACACTTGTCGCATATGTAGCTGCCATCTATGACTTAAGAGCTACCTTTTTAAATACTGTTTTTTTAAAGACATTTTTTGTGTTCCAAGCCAAATCAGCCAAATCAAATCCAAATCCATGAGTCAGTCCAGAACCATAGGTGGCCCTACAATGGGCAAACATCCTCCACCCCCACCAGAGGCTTCAGATATCTCCAACGTCTTTTGGCAGGCATCCTACGTGCAGGCCCAAGCCCAGAGGCGTGGGGGTCAAATGCCCCCAAGTTTCACCTGCCTTCAGCCATATGGCCACAGGAGCAAGCTAGGGGCTTGCTTCCATTTCCATAAAGTGGGCTTTAAGCCCCAACACCTCAGCGGATACTAAAACCATGCCAGAAGAACAGTTATCCCCCAGGATCTTAAGGAAAACTCATCTACCTTTTTGTATACTGCACCTTCAGCTACAGAGGGGTCACCCTGCTCATTTATGGGGTGGCTGTGAGCCAGCTGTCATTTTTACATTTCAGTTCAGATGCTGAGTCACTGTGTTCTCCCTCCCAGGGACTTCTTTTTTCCCCTCTTGAACCTGAAATGAGTCATTTAGGCTGGAAAAAGACAAATTCCCCCTCTCTACATGGGGAAAAGTAGCAGACCTTTCATATTTTCAAATATGTGTGTATTTACTGTCTTTTTCTTAGGGAGTGATGCAACTCTGGTTATTTTAAAGGCCCAAGCAACGTCAAGACTCTTAGCACTAGATCACTGATATTGCAAATAGGGATTACAGTGACATATTTGCTGTCCTGCATGCATATAAGCAGCAATGTTCCCTCTAAGGAGTAGCGGTCTGCGAGCGCGCCGCTTTGGTCCGTGAGCACACTGCGTCAGTGCAGCGTGGGACACTTACCAAAGGTAAGCTCCTCAGTCCTCGCTTGGGGCAGGCAGTGGGAGCTTGGGCCTGGATGCTAGGGGGCTTTGGGGCTGGGGGGTGCTCTGCAGATTCCAGGACACTGCTCCACTCCCCACTTCACCTCAGGGAGCGAGGAGGGACATGGCATCAGGGCTGGGGAGTGGAGCAGTTTCCTGGAGCTGGCGGAGCCTGTGCTAGCCCCCAGCCCCACCCTCTATCCCTGCCTTGCCTCACCTCAGGGAGGAGCCATCACCTGCCCCAAGTGAGGCTCTACTGGCTCCAGGGAACTGGTCCGTGGGCTCCGGGGAATTGCTCCACTCCCCAGCCCTGATGACACATGCCTCCTTGTTCCCTGAGGCTAAGTGGGGGAATGGAGCATTTCCCTGGAGCCTGTGGAGCCCGTGCCAGGCTACCGCCTCTGTCTCCACCTCCTCCTTGCCTCTCAGAGGAACTTACCATCATGTAAGTGTCCCACGCCACAGCCCAGCAGGTGCACGAACTAAAAAAGTTTGTGCATGGCCAGCCTTTTACTTGTGCATGTCCGCGCACATGCACACCTTAGAGGGAACCTTGATGAGCAGACAGTACCAGAACTGGGTACACACGCATACTGCCAAGATATAAACAGAATTTTATATTATCCCCGTCTATACCCACTTAGGGCTTGTCTCTCTAATACATGCTGTGTATACAAGCAAAGCCCTGGTTACTGAACTTCTCCTTAAAAAACCACAGAAAGTATGAACATCATTATTGCAAAATTCCTATGTGAAGTCTCAGGAGTAATATTACC